TGACGCCTGCCCTCCAGGTGCTGCAGCCCCGAACGGAGGGGCGACAGCGCGCCGTGCCGCTGCGAGAGGCCTGATGATCGGCAGCCTCTGAGCGCGGACACGCCCGCCGCACGGCGCTCGCCCCGCAAGGGGGCCGCAGGATCTCAATGCTCGCCGCCCATCCAGACAGTCACGTTGAAGATCTGCTTCTGCGGCATGGCGATGAGGGAGATGTCCGTGTGGTGGTTGAACACGGGGAAGGACGTGATGACGTGCCACATCGACGCGGTGCTGAGCCCCGCCTGGCCCGTGGCCTTCATCATCGCAATGCCGGGGTTCCGCCGGTCGTCTGCCGCAGGCACGGGATTCCAATGGTCGTAGTTGGTCTGCAGGCGGAACCAGCCGTCTGGTTCGCTCGGATTGAGCCGCCACACGTCGACTGCCTTCTCGCGGCCCCGCGTCACGACCGCGCCCTCCGCCGCCTTGGTGCCAGCGACAATGTAGTACATCTCGTCGATCAGCGGCGTGGTGCTGAGCGCCGAGATGCCTTGCTCGAAGTCGCTCGTCCTCTCAAGAACATGGCGCAGGTGCTGGCACGGCGTCAGCGAGTGCACGCGCAACGCCTGCAGCAGGTTGTCCAGTGGCTTGCCGCCTTTGCCGCGTGCGTCGATAGTGACCGACCAGCCATCGCCGCCCCGCCCGCGGTAGGCCATCCCATTGAAGCCGCCGACGAAGCCGACGGCCGTGGTCATTCGAAAGAGCGTGTCGGCGCTCTTGCTCGTGTTGACGAAATCGACGTCTACCACCAACGAGCGCATCACCGCCGGCAAGTTCCAGTCGAGGTTGCGACCGTGGATGATGGTGCCGTCAGTGGCCTGCGCAACGATTGATGTGCACATCCCGGGGCCATCCGCCTCGTCAAGCTTACGGCTCAGGTAGGTGAAACCATCGTGTGACTGCATGGCGCCCGCAGCGTGAGCACTGTGGCAGTAGCTCCACTCCTGGCCAGGGTCGACGTCCACGCAGCCAGGGTCGTCCTTTCGCGTCGGACCCGTAACGTTCCACGTGGAGCAGTTCAAGCCGAGGCCTTCCAGCTGGTACACGAGGTTCATCAGCACAATAAGCCCTGGACTCGCTCCGAGGGCCTCTGCCAAGCCGGCCATCTCCCCGCCGTACAGGTGGAAGTAGCCCCCCATCCTGGCGCCGACGGCCTCCACTAGCGGCATTGCCCACCTGGGCACCACCGCCTCGAAGTACGCGACGATGTCCGGCACCTTCGACCTGTAGGCCTCCGCGATGTGCGCCCACCGCTGCTCGGCGGGAAGCGCCAGATCGACGGTGTACACGGGCGGCCTCACCGAGGGCTGCGCGAGCTTCCCCGCGGCGCCAGCGACCGACGCGGGCGCCCGCGTCCAAGGCTCTGCCGCGCGGGCCGCCACGAGGAGCAGCAGGAGCCGCCACGCCATCGTGGCGATGCCGCCGCTGCACACGGTCGGGAGCTGCTGCTGCGCGCGTCGCCGCGGCGGCCCCGGCGACACCGAGCGGACAGCGCGTCGCTCCGCTCCGCGGGGCGGGAGGCTAGGAGAAGCTCGGAACGTGGACGCCAAGGGGGCCCCCAGAAGTGGACAGCGTGTCGCGGCGAAGCCCGGTGGGCCTGAACTGACGGAGCGACACGCTACAGGCAACCCGTATGGCAAGGATGCGCGGTGAGGATGCAGGGGCCTTGAAGGGCCATGCTGACGCTTTTCGAACGAGGCTGGCCAGCGAAAGTCGCCAAGGATGGGTCTAAGAGGCAAGGATGCAAGGGCAGCCTTGGAAAGCTGCTCATCCTACGCGGGTTGACTGCACCCCCGAGTTCCCGACCGCAACCATCCAGACTGCGGAGGCCCAGGGACGAGCAGCGGCTGCGGCGAAGACCTGGGCTTAGGTCGGGCGTGTCCTCCTACAGGCGGATTTTGAACGAAACATGGAAATCAAACAAGGCTCAAAAATACCCTAACAATAATTTTTGAAAATTGTCCCCATGCTATGTTTTGACTATCTTTGGTTCTCCTGTAGAGGGACAGGCCCGACTTACACCCAGGGCGCCACCTGCCGCAGGGGCGCCCCGCGCTCCGCGCGCCCGCGCGGCGGCGCGGCGCCGCGCCCTCGCGCCCTCGCGCCGCCCGCTGCCTGGAGGAGGGACAGGCCTCGGGCTCGGGCCCATCAAATAATGACGAATATTTAAATTGATCTTTGCATTCATTCCATGACGGTTTGAAATCATCATCAAATCATTCAGTATTAATCAGATCATCCGGCGTGAAAGCCAAAGCGCTTTGAATCCGCCGCCTGTGCAGAGCATACCCAACTCTCAGTCGGGGACTGAAGTGAAGCCCGCCCAAAAGCCCAGCGCGACCACCGCCGGACCCCCTGCGGGCGGGGGGGGGGCGGGGCGCCTTCGGTCCTGCGGTCGGGAACTCTGCGCACGGCGCGCAGCGGCGGCGGCCCTGGCGGCACGCTGCGCCTGGCGGAGCGGGCGGCGCGTCGCTCCGCCCGGCGGCTGGCGGGAGGCTCAGGGAAGCTCGGGGCGCTGGCCTTATGTCGGGCGTGTCCCCCTACAGGGGGATTTTCGACGAAAAATTAAAAAAGTACCCCCAAAACATTCCAAAAAGGTCAAATACTTACAAAATAGTCCCAAGACTATGTTTGGACTATGTTTGGATTATTGTTGGGGTATTTGTTTAGTTTTCGTCGAAAATCCCCCTGTAGGAGGACAGGCCCGACTTAACGCTGGCCTCTGGGCGTGGGGACACGGATAGCGCGTCGCGCCAAAGCTTGGTGGGCCAGAGCAGGCGGCGCGACACGCGAGGCTCAAGTTCCTGACCGTAGCCCGAGTACGAGCAGTGGGCGGAGCGAACATGGCGCCCCCGGGTCCCTGCGACCGCCCCAGCTGCACTGCTGGTGCAGGCGCTGCTCAGGACTCCAACCTCCGCGCTCCACCTCCACGGACAGAGTCAACCTTCATCCACGGCGAGCGCGTGAGAGCTCCGAAATTCGGCAGTAGCCTTCCCCTCTCCTCCTTCCTTTTTCCTCCTCCTCCTCCTCCTCCTCCTCCTCCTCCTCATCCTCCTTCTCCTCCTCCTTGGAACCGACGCTGGAGGTGGGTGGGACGTCAAAAGCCAGCGCAGGAGAGCGTGTGCCACGGCACGACCGAGGAGGGAGAGGGGGGGGGTGAAGCGAGTGAGGGAGAGGAGTACAGCAGAGGCTTCCGCGCGTCTCGGCGAAGCTTCGGTGGCTCCCCCGACGCCCACGAGCCGCCAGTGAGCAGCACCAGTGCCCCAGACCTCCGATGCCCTGGTTCTTGCAATATGCGGGCCTGGAGCTTTCGACCCAACTTTAGGTTGGGCATAGGCGGATTTCGGGCGAATAAAAATACAATTCTCAAAAAGTATCAAAATAGTCAGAAAATACGCCCCAAAAAAGTCCCCATACTATTTTCTTACTATTTGGGAATGTTCCTCCTGTAGAGGGACAGAAAATACGCCCCAAAAAAGTCCCCATACTATTTTCTTACTATTTGGGAATGTTCCTCCTGTAGAGGGACAGGCCCGACCGATGCCCTGATTATCGCAACGTGCGGGCCTGGAGCGTTCGACCCAGCTCCTGGGCACCAGCTTCCTCATCCTGCTGGGGCGAAGAGGAGGAGGAGGAGGAGGAGGAGGAGGAGGAGGAGGAGGAGGAGGAAAGGAGAAGGAGGAGGAGGAGGAGGAGGGAGGGAGGGGACGGAGGGGAGGGAGGGAGGGAGGGAGGAGGGGAGGGAGAGGGAGGGAGGAAACGGAAAGGAGGGAGGGAGGGAGGGAGGGAGGAGGAGGAGGAGGAGGAGGAGGAGAGGGCGGTCGGACTCGCTCCCGCGGGTCGCTCGGCCGCCGCGTCGAGGGCCGAGGTTCGACGCAAGCAAAAGGGTGGCGTGGAGCGAACGGCGACTGCACCGCGCAGTCTGACCTGCGGCTGCAGCTGTCTCCCGGAGAGCTGCCGCGTGGCCCACTCGTGGGACAGAGGCGTCTCAGCAGGGCTCGAGGATGGAGTTTCAAAACTCGAGCCTGGGGTTCGACTACAGCGCTGCTTCCCCTCAGAATGATCTTTCGGCGAATGATATGCTCTTCGTAGGCTCGCGGACACCCTGGATACACTTTGAAGCGTCGACGAAACATGATTCCGGGGTGAACCCATTTTGTAGCCGATACAATACTCAGAAAACGCGTGTGACGATGCACGGACAAAAAGTGTCCACGCCGACGGCGTGAAGACAACAAGGCATGATGGCAACGACAATTGCAGAATACATGTGGCTCGCCCCCCCTCACCCTCACCCCCAAACCCAAAGTTGAAACGTCCATATTTTGTCCCCTGGGCGTTGCCTCGTATCTAATCTTGTCAACTTTGGGTTGGGGGGGTGGGGGTTACGGTTAAGTCGGGCCTGTCCCCCTACAGGGGGATTTTCGACGAAAAATGAAAAATACCCCAAAAAATAGTCAAACAATTCTCCAAAAATAGTCTGGGGACTATTTGATGAGTATTTTCTGACCTTTTGGGGGTATTTTGGGGGGTATCTTGTATTTTTCATCGAACATCCCCCTGTAGGGGGACACGCCCGACGTAAGGCTACGGATATTTGTTCGACGCACTTCGATGTCGTATCATCTTGGCGCGATGGGCGTGGACATCTTTTGTCCACCCACCAGAGCTACAGAGTGCGACTCGCCCACAAGCCTTCCAAGGCGCCGCGGGCACCGCCCTCGGGGGGCGGCACGGGGTGCGCGCGGCCGGGCGAGGCAGACGAGCTCCTCTGCCTCCGCCGGCGCAGGGACGCCACACCGCCGCGGCCGAGAGCACCTGCTAGGGGGCCACATGCGAACCCTACCCCTACCCCCCACAATTTCTGAGGGGGAGGGTGGGGTTCGCTTCGCTCGGGAGCTGCCGAGCGAAGTGAACCCCCACGCTCCCCCTCAGAAATCGTGGGGGGTAGGGGGTAGGGTTCG